GGTATTTAATGGTTAAGGAGGGCACATTTACAGGGTTTTACTAGGGGAGTCACTGAGGCACGGCCAGACTGCTGATTGGCCTTGTGCATGGCTGGGTGCTCTTGGAATGCCACGCTGGCTCTCTCTCTCTCTCTCTGTCACACACACACACACACACACACACACACACACTAACCTGTAATCTACATGCAGGTACAGTACATTCTCACCACATGTACATTCCATGAGGTGTGTGGCCACAAACCAGTCATTTCAATGAGAATGCAATTTGGCCAGTGAAATGCTAGCACTGAAAATAACATGGCCACCTACAGCCAAGGTCCTGCTGCGATTGAAGTGTGGGGGTGTGGGGGGGGTAAATCAACCTCAGCTCAGATAAAGCTTACGTAACCAATGGCTTTGCTTAACTACCAGTTTCTGTCCAATAAAGTCATTGTGCTTATAAATGGAAACACGAGTGACGCTGAGCTCTGAGACAAACTGGACCAGCTGACATCTATAAATCTGTAGAAGCTGTACTTCTGTCACTTGGGTGCAATACAGGCTGATTATTATATTAAACGGCCCGTCCAACATTCCAGGAGTAGAAGACAGTGCTGGAAAGTTATATGCAAGACACTTTTCTATATTTTTGTTCACCACATTGAGGCTTTGTAACAAAGGCACGTACACATAGAACTGCTCTCCCTCTGAGCAGGTGGGGGGCCGACGGGCCGGGTGACGGGCTGGGAGCCCCGGTCTCGGCTGTGTCTCGTCCAGTGAGACAGGCAGGCTGCCAAGCTCACAGGCCACTGTAGCCATGTCTAAAACAGGTCCTGTCATCACATTCATGCCCTTCCCCCTAAGACTTGTCCTTCAGCCCAGTATGGTTGCATGTGTCCCATTTGGCCGTAGTTTGTCTAATCGATGTAGATCAGGCCCTGATAGGTACATATTGATGAAGACAGGCAAGTGTTTGACGCTGATTAAACAGAAAGGCAGAGAATGCCAGCACTTCTGCAGAACTCCATTTGCCATAAAGGTGCTTTTAGCCAGTCAGTGTAAAAATCAGGTGAAGCGTCATTTATCTATTTTTCGTTTATGTGCAGAACAGAGGTTTGACTGGAGGTTTTAAATAAACAGCAGCACCTGTCCTAGCTGTTGCCAGGGGGGGGGGGGNTTGCAGTGCAGGTGCCTGCAGAGCGTCCACCTGTGGCTTCAGCCCAGGTCCTCAGACGGTGCAGTTCCTCACAAAATAATTCACTCTGCCTTTTTTGGCTATTTGCAGACTAGCCAGATCCAGGGATCGTACATTATGCCTGGAAGATTTCCCTTCGCAGAAGTATCCGTGTCCTGTGAGATCAGCCATCTCTGACGGAGCCGGGCAGCGTCCCTGCAAACTGTGGTTGACCAGGCTCCGGCATGTGAGCCTGGAATGAGATATGAGACTCACTGAAAGGCCCCAGCTGCTCCCGGATGTAACTGAAGTCTACTGCAGTTTATTAGTACGTTTTTTTTGGTTTTTGTTTTTTGGTCCAGCAAAAAATGGACCAGTAGGTTAATGAAAATCATAAGAATAATGTCTACCACACTGCATCAGCAAGAACATCTTCTGTTGAGCATAAAAATTAGAAAAGGAATATGACTAATAATTATTAGTAACTGTAGGGAGAAGCCACGTTCCAGGCACTCCGAGGTGTGGCCCTTGACACACACCGGCCAGGTCCGCCATCTCCCAGGGACCATGAAAGGCACGTCGTCACCCCTGAGGGGCCGTGGCTCTGTCCTGGTGGGGGCTCATTTCCACGCCGCACATTTATCTCACTCCCAGCCCATCCTTGGTGCCTTTCTTCTCGCCTCCCATGGATTATTAACGAAGGCCCTTTTTCAGAGGCGAAGTGCCGTTCCGGCAATCCGAGCTGCTTGGTGTGGTTGCCTTGACAGAGGCAGAACAAGGGCATCCTGCTCACCTCAGCTGGTCCCTTCAGACAGATGGCAGACAACCTGAGGTTGGGGAGAAGGGAGCCGGCAGTGTGTGTTTTACCAGTGCCCGGGGGGGGGCATACGGCGGACACTTGCTGCCAGGCAGGTTACTAAAGGTCTTTGCAAGGACCGAAATGGGACAGAAGGGGGAGGGAGTGAGGGATGGCAGTGTGTGTTTCATCCACTAAGCACATCTGAGAGTGTTACCGTGGTATGTGGAGCCAAAAGCCCAGGCTGGCATCCCAGAGCCACAGAGCATCAGGGAAGAAGCCAGTGTCAACTGAAGAGAAGCAACAGGAGCCCAGCAACTAGTGGGGAGAGACGAAATCAGAGCTGGATGTTGACACATGTCAAGGAGGGAAAACATACTCGTCCAGTGGTCACTACTGGGGCTGGGTGAACAGGTACCCAGTGTAAGGTCCCGAATGGAGCTCCAGCCACACCAAAGGACCGCCGAGCCTCGCTGAGGGCCGAACAAAGGCTCAGTGATCCAAGCTTTATTTTTAAGGGCAGTGTACTGTTTTCTGACCTGGCAATTGGCCCGGGATCCGTTGGTATGTCTGCCTCTGATGCCACAGCCTTGCTCTGGTACACCTCCCGTTCCCAGTCTCTCCTGGCTCCAAATGAAAGATGTACGTGCTCTGTCACATCGATTGCCAGAGTGGGATCAAGAAAGGGCGGTGCCACATCTCGGAGCATGGCGAAGACCCGCCGTGATTAGCCGACCCCTAGCGGGGGTTACTATGACCAACCAGCTTCCTGTGACATGTCAGCTGCTACCTACCGTGTGGGGCTCAGTCCGAGACGCCACTCAAGCTAACACAGGAAATGCCTCTGCTGTGTGCCGATATGGACACGTGGTGCCTTTATCACACCCCTGAGTTAACATGCTTGCAGCAAAAGTGTTTTTCCTCCTTCAGTGGAGTCATGCAGGCGTTGCTCGGCCTGGCACTGCTTCTCCAAGCTGCTTGTGTGCCAGTGAGAATAAATCACATTTTACAGCCTCTGCAGGTCAGAGGGCTGTACTGGGGCCTGCTGCGGCCTGGATGCGGTTGGCATACTCATCCAGTTTTTCTGTTTGCAGCCTGGCCTCAGTCAAATACACACACACAGACACGCACGCACACGCATCGCAAATGACGTGAGCCACACAAATACCCGCACATTATGTGTGGAGAATTTTCACAAGGGCTGACTCTCAAACAATAGCTAGTGACCGTCATGCCACCCTCTGTTAGGGAAGGTGCAGTTCATTGAAGGGGTCTGGTCTTGGGTCAAGGAACCTCCGCACGAGCATAAAGGGGTGGCGAAGATCTTCCGCAGGAGCGGAGGGAGGGAACCGGGCAGTGATGGATGGCTTACGGAAATGAGTCAAGGTCTGGATTCTGAGCGGAAGCCTGGAGTGAAGCTCTGCACAGGGTGGTTCTGCTGTCAAAGCAGCACCATACTTCCCTCTGTCTACTCTCTAGCAAAAGTTGTCTGTCTATTCCTGATGCCAAAGGTGTAGACGTTAATGTCTTTAAAAATTGATCTTGACTCGTTGCCAGAATTTCCTGTTTAACTGTGATTCTTGTTGAATGGATGTGAGCACCAATCATTAAAATATAAAGCAAAATTTGGCCTCTTGAATATGACCATGAGTTTACCATCAAAATTGTGTAAGGTGAGCTTTGGCAGGCAAAGCTGGGTACAAATAAAGGACACCAGACTGAAGGACGTGGAAGACCGAGGGCTAGATTGTTGATAATGGTCTGCAGACTTCTTTCATTACCCTGTGGTTTATCTCTGTACTCTGTGTACCAGAGAAACTGTTTTGGTGTGGGCTACGCAGCCTGTAAAGGCAGCCTGCTGCAGGGCATGCTGGGATACCAGTGACAGGTGGTCCTGGCAACCACTCCCTGCCTCGTTTAATGAGACACATGCAGGGGAACATGTGAGCAGGAGAGGGCTGGACTTTAATTTCATTTGCACAAAAAGACTTCACTTGGTAATCTCAACATATTATCATTACACGACAGAAAATGACTGTCAACTTTAAGGGAATGGCTTCTAAATGGGAGGTAATTGAAACTGTTTGGACACGCCCCCCTGCGTGGTCCAATGACATGGATGAGCCACTTACAATGAAGAACTGGGAAAGCTAACAGTTTAGGACTTCTTGCCAAAGGGGCACAGAGGATGAGAGGTGTGTGAGTGTGCTCGCATGCCAACTGGTGAATTTGGTGAAGTGAGATCATGTGCTGCCTTAGGCTGTGAAATTTTTAAACTGCTTGAGCAAATCTGGCCCTGCTGGAGTCAGGCTAGGAGCTAAATGGCTTAATAACAATTAAAAATCAATTGGAGCTGGCTGATGGTGCTGTGTCTGCCTGAAGTCCTTGATCTGCATCAGCACTGACAACCCCCCTGACATTAGCCCACACGCACACACAGAGACACACTCCCTCTGCTAAGAACAAAGTGCCCTAAAAAAAGTCATCTGTCGTGCTTCAGTATCATATCCAGGCTGAATAAATGTATATAAAGTCTGGCTCACACCAGCAGAAGGTATAGAAGAATCTGCCATGTGCCTTTGATTACTCATTGTATATGGATGTTTTGTGTTTAATAATATACATTATGTATTATTAATATACATTATTCCATGAAGACCTGTTAACTTTGTGAGAGTAAAACCTATGGAATAAACTATATGGCTTTTGACCAGTTGTTCAAATAAGATCTTCTGTACCATCTGGAAAGATGCAATAATAGATACACTTCAATCTTTTGAATGTAAAAGTGGTTTGAGGACTGTAGAAAGGATACAAACCTTTTTGATGCCTAGCAACAAGAATTTCATTCTTTTTTCTTTATGATACTTATTTCTGCACCTCTCCAAAAAAAAAAAAAAAACAACCAAAAAATGTTGATGGCTAAAATTAGATCCTCCAGGGGCAAAGACCATGGTAAACAGTACCATACCAGTGTTGTGTGGGTCCCAGGTCCCATGCAAGGCTTTTAACATGCACCCCCCCCCCCCCCCCCCGCCCCACATTCAGGAAGACTATGACCGCCTGAGGCCTTTGTCCTACCCCATGACCGACGTCTTCCTCATCTGCTTCTCTGTGGTGAACCCGGCCAGCTTCCAGAATGTGCGAGAAGACTGGGTTCCGGAGCTGCAGGAGTACGCGCCCAGTGTACCGTTCCTGCTCATTGGAACCCAGGTGAGCTTGCAATACTGGTCCAGCATCATCTCAGAGCAGCTGTTGCATGCCCTTCCACTCCCATTCATTCTGTCCTGCATCCTGGTTAGGATGGACAACAGATGACAGCCCGGTTGACAATGCTAAAATAAACCTGAAAACAATATTTTTTCTAATATTTCATTTTGTTGTTAATTCCCCTCTATAATCTAACCTGTATAGTGTCTGTTCAGATTGTCTGATAGAGGTACAGTAAATAAAATTTGCAGAGAAGGTCAGATTACTAATTGGTGCACATCTCACAAAACAGTGTAACTGTCACACTGACCAAGCCAGGAGACCTTAGTACCTCTGCCCCACTGGACGGTCACACTAGAACATTCCAGCTTTGTGGTACCACCAGTCCCATTATTACAGTGCCAGATGTGGAAAGGGGGAATGTGGGGTGCTGGGGACTATGTGATTGGTGCAGTATGGTGTTAGGGGACATGTATAGGGGTTTCTTTCATCTTTGTTTCTCTTTTACAGGAACAACCAGCAGTATATAACTTAATGTACATAACGGTAGTGATGCACTTAAGATTACAAAAAATGAGACCAAGTCATTACCAAGACCAAAGTGTATGGACACCAAGACAGGACCAAGACCAAGGCAGGGCTAGACCAAGTCAAGATCAGAAACAGACTAATGTTTGAGTCTACATAACACAACACACTTTAAAATGTCGAGCATAAGCCCCATCTTGAGGCTAGGCAGTATGGCCTAAAATTTATTACGGTATAAATCAAACCATGGACACTTCTTTCTTCAAATTTCAATATAAATGCAGTAGGGCGCACCTTATGAATATTAAGCCGTTGTGATAAATATTGAGGTGTTTTGATGAGTGGTATTGAGTAGACTTGAAATAAAACGTCGAGTCCTCCATGTCCGAGACTGAGACAAGGCCAAATCAAAATAAAGTCGATTACGAGATGAGACCAAGACCACAGAAAAGTGGTCTCGAGACCAAAACCTGTCTCGAGTACTATAACACTAGTGAACGGAAGTAGCATTCTAAGCCCCAGATCCTCTCATTGCGCATATCTGAGTTTGGGGAGCTAGAGTAATCTCGGAAGATCAAAGACAAGAGCCACTTCCTGAGTATAGCTACACTGGCTAATCTCCAGCATCAGTTAGAGCAATTCATTTGGGTCTGACCTCACAAAGTGCTGTGTGCCTGTGTGCATGTGTGGGTAAATCTGACAGATATATGTGTGTATGAACAGTGTATTTGGCAGAAAGCAGGGGAAGACTTCTGGTTAAACTGGAAAACTGGTATACCATACCATTGAGACTGGAAAAATCACACACTGGAATCTTAATAAGAAACAGAAGCTGTTTTTTTTCTTTGGATGGGAGCCCAGCATAGGAGAGAAGTTCTATGTCAAATGGAGAGCGAAGTATTATGGGGTCTGGGGTGTGGGCCTGGGTGGGGGAGGGATTGGAGTTCATTGAGTGTAGGCTTTCATTCTTGGAACTGAACACTCTAAAAACAAACCCGCATCACGTGGACTGACGCTTAAACTGTCACGGGAGCGGCCGGCTGCCGAGGGGGCCTGTATTTGGGTTGGACAGGCACCACATGGGGTAATGAAACAAAACTCTGACCTACTGAGACACACAGCTGGGATCGGAGTAGGGAAGGATATAAAGCACCTCAGTGTCAGCATGCTTAATCAACTTGGGAAGGGTACAGGGGAGCAGCCGTGATAGCTGAAGCCTGGCCGGCATCAGACCTGTTTGCCTGGCCATATTGGTCTCCTTGTAGTGAATCTGAACTGTGACCCCAAGCCTCAGCACTCTGCACAGATTCGCCTGCTGGTCCTATTTCAGATTGACCTACGAGACGACCCCAAGACCATCGCCAAGCTAAACGACATGAAGGAGAAGCCCATCGCCACAGAGCAGGGGCAGAAGCTGGCCAAGGAGGTAAATCTGTTACACAACAAAAACAATACTAATCTACCATGGGCTTTTTACACACTAATGTACCACAGAGATGATGGGTAGTTGCACACTTGTACAACACATAAAACAGGTCTGAATTCACCTATTTGCAGGAGGAAACCACGTCATTTTAGCTTGCTGCTTTCTAGCCTTTGTGGTCATCATCCAGACTGGTTCTCTTTCAAGGTAAAGTAATTCAAAGACGGCGCTTCTCAGAGTTAAATGTGACAAGCAGGAACAGAAGGTATACCATTGAGTACAGTAAATGTCACTGTGGAGTACAGGCAGTTCCTAAAAGTAGAGACATCAAAATGAGATACAGGAAGTAGGATCTGTATCCAAAACAGTGTTTATTGTATTCTGTAGGCATTCAATTACAAAAAACCCACAATTTTTCTGCTTCTCCCAGATATCTTATACCGACGCTCCTCTACTTACGAACTTTCAACTTACGAACTTTCAGACATACGAACATAGAGGACTAAGTCCAAATTGTGTTCATTGGGCTCCCGTTTCTTGCCCGCAACATCAATTTTTTTTTCTGTGCGCCAATTCCGCCTAGTATGACTTCTGGCCGCCACTCCCACTGCGCAGCAGCGTAGCGTGCGTACTCCCAGCATCCTAGTTCTCAGTACTTTTGTATACCCTTAAAATGATGTTGAATAACGACTTACGAACATTTCAAGTTACAAACGGCCGTTCAAAACGTATCTCTTTCGTAGGTAGAGGAGCGTCTTTATTTTCATATTAAAAGTAGTGTTGTGAATGTATGAACATGAATTAATATGGGTCCCTTTCAATTCTATTTAAACTCGGTGAGGTACTGAGCTCCAGTGTTCCACATCAGCGGCAAAAGCAGACTGTAGCTCCAGTGCTTTTATATATCGATGGTCAGAGTCAAAGGAACATGATCGCAGATGTCCCATTTACAAAGAAGGCTCTCTACAGACCAGAGCCTTAAACAGCAAGGCAAGGAGAGAAGAAATGTCCCAGCAGCTAAAGCAAGCCTGCTTAACGCCAGCTGTGCGCTAGGTGCTAGTGGCGTTCATTTGCTTATTCAATATCTGCTGCCTTTCAAGACCTACTCCCGGTGCCATGTGGACCTCCTACACTAAAAAGCGAGCATCACTCTGACGCAGCCCCATCTGCAAAGATGAATTATATCATGACTGTGTCAGTTTGCACTGAGTTATGAACTGAGATATGAAATGAAAGCCCTTCATTGTCAAGACGTCACATCTCCTATTTGGCTAAAGGTTTAAAGTTTCTGTGTGGGCATGGAGGCTATAGGCTGTTCTGACCTCCCCCTTCCACCACATAACCTTCCTTTCCCTCTATATCCCTCCCAGATTGGTGCATGCTGCTACGTGGAGTGCTCGGCGTTGACGCAGAAAGGGCTGAAGGCGGTCTTCGACGAGGCCATCATCGCCATCCTCGCGCCAAAGAAGGGTGTCCTCAAAAGGCGTCTGGGCTCCCGCTGCATCAGCTGCTGCTTGATAACGTGAGCTGGGGGGGGGAAGGGGTGGGTGGGACTGGCAGCCGGAGAG